TTAATTATGGGGATTACAGATTGCTTAACATAGGGATTATTTGACTCTCAAACTACGTACATTTTTTTATTGTATCTTTCCCTTTTATAGCATGAGTAACGTTATTCATCTCCTGTGGGGATGAAAATAATTTTATGTGGCATTAAATGATATGTTAAATAAAAGGTAAAATTAAATGACTTATTTAATTTCACCTATTATTTATGCCACATTAACGTCACGTAGACTGTATTTTCATTCCCATTGGAGATGAATATCATTACTCTTATAGCTCAGTTCGGGTTTGTACTTGTATTATAAATACAACTCAGAAATATAATTCTACAAGTTTTCATGCAACTTCTCTACTTTCTGGCATGGGAATTGCCTCTTGCAGATGAAAAGAGAAAAGACCCTTCTGAATCTAACATTTAAGGCTGAAGTAGCTTTTCACAGATTCAGGCGAGCTATCCATTTCATACTATTTTCTGCGTTGTATTTAACAAAAAACTGAATTTCTGGTTGCAATATTTGAATTTTGTCGCTTTTATATTAATATATGCAGTTCGTATTTTTAAGGTTATCCTTTTCCATTATAAGATATTTCGGACTGAAATTTCTGCAGATGTGATAGTTTGTACTTTTATTGAGGTCTGGAAATGAATTGCGTATGGGTCTTGAATGTTAGTTTGATTATTGTTTTTTAAAAGTAGTTTAAGTATCCATAAAACAGCGCAAAAAACACTACAAGAATCTGCCAAATGCAGCCTTTGGAATAGCTATTTGATTTTGCAAGTTTGTTATTACAGGTAGTTTCCACAATGGATCTGACTAATGATGTACATAATACTTGAATTTTTGACTAGAAAATGAACTAAAACAGATCAGATTTTTCTGGGATGTTGATGTTCGAAGTCCTTGAAGGAAAAAATTCATTCTCTTAATAAAAATAGGAGGTAGAACCACTAAAGATTTTTTTTTTTTTCTGTTATGTTGGCTCATTCAAGAAAAGCCAAATCCATATATTACACCATAGTTCCTCAAACTGTGGGTCCTCCCAATATTCCTACTATATAAAAGGATATTAGGGTGCCGGTTTTTGGTACGAGAGAAAATCCTCGTACCTATTTGCTTACACATTTTCTCCATTACTGGGAAAATTTGCAGCATCTGAGAACATAGTATGAATCTGTGTGTTTGCCTGTTTTCGATTTTCTTTCTGTTTATTATCGCTTTTGCGAGAAGGGATTGTAGCTTAGTCCTTAACAGTTGATTGGACATAATTTTGTTTTATGTGCTAAATACTACAACTTTATTTTCACAAGTTCTGCTATATAATAAGTTCCTTATTTCAGAGCATTGCTAGTGGGGTGAGAATCCGCTGTGGAACACATACGTGCCAAGGTTGCTAAGGTTCTAAAATCTTGCAGAAGTAAAACGTTTGGAATTTCATTTAGTTGCGTAAACATGGCTATGGCTCCTACTGTAAAAGTGGTTCTTGGCTCAATTGCCTTTGCTATATTCTGGGTTTTGGCAGTTTTCCCGGCTGTCCCATTCATGCCCATTGGGAGGACTGCTGGGTCTCTCTTTGGGGCAATGCTTATGGTCATTTTTCGAGTCATAACAC